ACAATAGAATAGGGAAGACTAGAGATCTCTTCAATAAATTGGAGATATGAAGGGAACTTTTCATGCAAAGATGGGCATGATAAAGGACAGCACAGCCTTCCCTAGCCTACTGCACTCTAGAAGTGTTAGACTACAGCTTCCATCATTCCCAGCCAGAATGACAGGAGTTACATTCTTGATGCATTGGAAGGGCACTGGGGAAAGGCTGCTCCACTGTTGTGTAATGCTCAGCTTTACTATGAAGATGAATTTTGTAACCCCCCAAGTTCTCCATATTAAACTTTAATCCATTAAAGGAGAATTCAGTGCCTTCCCTCCACCACTGTTCAGCTTCCAGAATAATTCCCATCTACCCACTAATGTGGTGCCTGATCGTTTAGCAGTGGGTGCAAGAAAGGAAAGCAGAGGCCACAAGCCCTTATTAATTTTTCCCTCCTGTAGATGGCATTTGCTCAGGGAATACTGCATTACCAATTTATAGTTCACCTTTCCCCTAAGAGCCCAAGATAGCATATATTATTCTGTCCTTATAACAACACTTAGGCTAGGTTAGGCTGGACCAGTTGACTGGCCCATGGCCATCCAGTGTGCTGTGCCTGAATGGGGATTTGAATGTTTGTCTCCCGAGTGCTTCAGTCGCATTATCCACACTGGTTCATATTCTTTTCTGCTACCTGCTGCTGCCAGCCAAGCAGTAGCGACCAGGTAAGTAGATAGCAAGAAAAGGGTTTGAAGGGATGAGAGTTGGTTGTGTCCTGACTTTGTTCTGCCCGATATGTCATGAAGTTGTGGAGTGAGAGGCGGTTCTGTGCAATTAGATTTGACATGTAATTTGACTCAGTATCAATCAAGTGATTTCTTCATGGAGGTAGGCAGAATAGCCTTAGGTTTGCTGACCTAAAAGGAATGTAAAGTTTAGGTGTTATCATCTCTATCACCATCTAAACCAGCCCAGATAATCTTCAGCTGTGAAACTCTGAAGACAAGACAAACTTTGTCAATTAGGAACTTTGTCAAATGGATCCTTGGGCTGGTGCTGGAGGCAGTTCTGACATTTCTTTTGAAATGACAGTTTTGGCAGTGCCACTATCCTTGGCATTTCTACTGTGTAAGTAGTTTCTGTGGACGGGAAGATGCATGGCCACTGAATTCAGTTCTTGATATGTGTCCTTGGCTTACTCTTTTGGGGCAGCTTAGAGTGCTCTATCTGATATTATCTGAGTTATGTTAAGAATCTCAAGAGTCCCTGAGTCAGAGCATTTTATCTAGAATTTGTTGCTTCGGGCATTTCTCTTATCCCCTTCACTTGTCTTGTTTTCACACTGAAAAAATGTCATGAGTTTAGCATCAAACTTAATATTGCTTTAATTTAGTTTTGAAAATGAACAGTTGGAAGTAGCCAGAAAGTGATGAGGAAAGGTTAGAGCAAGGGATGTTAGCAAGGATATATTGAATTTTAAAAGTGGTATAATGCAAGGACATTAGTTGTACTTATTTTTGTATCCTTTTGAATGTTTGAGAAACACTGGTTTATAACAGCTAACTCTGATGATCCTGCAAAATATAGTTTTAGAGGTCAGGAATAAATGGCAGTAACCCTCAGGTTCCTCCCTTCCCTATGCTCATGGGAAGTTGATCTAAACAAAATAGGATATCCTGCTTTCCTCTAATCTTCCAAGAAGTTTATAAACCTGTATCCGTCTTGCTGTGGCTGGGTCAAATGCTGTGTTAAGAGATAAAAGAACAAATACAATAGGTATGTTGAGGACACAGGTATCAGTCCAGTATGTGATCAGTTTAAGACAGCAGTAGTCAGGATTGAGTCAGCGGTCAAAGCACAGTATTATCAGGGAAGTAGGATAGTTCATTACCAACCCCCTTGCAGCAGTTCTGTTTGTGAAGAACAGCACAGCTGTTGGGGTCAGAGAGGTTACCCAGCCTCCATTCAGAGGCAGAACTCCCCTCTTGCTGCAGTGGACCCATAGTCACCACCATGGGACTCCTCAGGTACCCATGGGACTCCTGATGTGGGTTGCTCTTCGAGTGCTTTGGCTCTCTGGAGGAAGAGGATCCCTTTAGCAGGGGCATAATAGCATCTCTCTCACTAGCTTCAGGCAGGATTCTCTAGCTTCTTAAAAGCTGACAGGGTCAAACTGGAAGTGCACGATCTGATCAGTTTTAGGAGCAGTCCAAGGTTTAATCTGAAACCATTGCATCTGGTAGAGCCTAATGTGAATGTCTGATGCCTCCTCTCACAATTCTTCTTAAGACTGTGACCAACGCAGGCTTCATGACTTGAACCTCAAGTCAGCCTTCCCCACCCTGTCTACTTTTTGTAACATCTTGCCTGTCTTGCCTGATCAAAGACCCGGAGATCTCAAAAGTTTTCCCTTGAGCTGACTTCATATTACCCTAAGACAGATCAACCTATCTTGTTCTTCCTTGCTGTAGAATACTTTGCTGGACAAGGCTTTTGATGGTGTAAAATGGTGCATTGTTAATCAGTTTGTTATTATAGGATACTCCCATGGGCTGTGTGTTTGTGGGTGGGTGGATATATGGATACTGCTATCATATTTCTGTGAATAGGACTGTCAGTGTGGGTTTGAATTAAGGCAATATCTCGCTAGAGTTTTGGGTGTAACAAAGGAAGGTTAACAGCCAGGAATACTTATGTGAGATAACTTGATGGGAAATAATTGTTAAAAGTTTGCTTTTTGATATAAGACCATTCTGAGAGGGTATGAATAAGAGAAAGGGAAAAATGATGATCTAAGGATGATGTAATCTAAGTGGCTTGATTCACAGAATCATGGAGGACAAATAAGCCATGGTGGTTTACTTCACTATCCACTATAGTGGCAGTTGTGTATTGGGGAAATTAGTATAATTAGTCTTGGCAGCAGGAGTTGTCATGTCATGCTAGCCAGGGTGCACCTACAACAGCCCTTGGCTTCTGGGTGGCTTGTTACTCATGGCAAGAAGCCTTCTTGGCTGAGTTCACACAACATGGTCAGCTGTGCTACAGAAGGTTATTATGCTAATCCTCCAAGCCCATAGCCAGCATACGAGTATGTGGGGTGGGAATAAACCACCATGGTAAGTTTCTCTTCTGTTAACCCGGTCCTTGTGTATTTCTGTGAAAGGGAGCAAAGGGGAGAGAATTGTAGTTTGAGTGACGAGGCTTTGGGCAGGGGCTGGTTGGTAGGCTTACAGCATCAGCTAATCCAGAAGTACAGCTTGCTGGAGATATGATGTGAGACAGTGGATTTGGCTGTCTGTTGGAATATTTAAGTCAGGGGTCCTCAAAGTATGGCCTGTGGGCCGGATTCAGCCCGCCATTCCCATTTATCTGGCCCACCTCAGTGGTTTTGGACTTGCTTATAGAAAACGATCTCTGAACAAGTCCAAAAGCTCTGAGCTGGCACAGGCGTTCTCAGTGGGGAGATGGCCGCAATTGCAGATGCGCAGGGAAGATGGGTGCGATCGCATTCGTGCTTGCGGGGGGAGAGATGGGTGCGATTGCGCCTGCCTTCCCTGCACAGTCGTGCTGCGGGGTGGGGTGGGGTGATGACCACGGTTCCGCTCATGCAGGGAAGGCGGGTGCGATTGCGGTCATGCTGGGGGAGGGGGAGATGGCTGCAATTGTGCCCTCCTTCCCTGCATGAGTGCGATCACGTCCGTCTTCGCCCCCCAGCACAATTGTGGACATTGCAGCTATGACCCTTGAATATGGACATGCTTTTCCCCACCTCATCTTGGACTTCTGCTGCAGCCCTAGCAAACAGAGCAAACTTTTTGAATTTTTATTTATTTTAATTTTGATTACTTTTTAATTTATTTTAATTTTGATTACTTCTTAATTTATTTTAATTTTGATTACTTTTTAATTTATTTTAATTTTGATTACTTTTTAATGTGCAATGTGCATAGCAATCTGTTCATTTTTTTTTTCAGACTATAGTCCAGCCCCTCAACAGTCCAAGGGACAGTGAACTGGCCCCCAGTTTAAAAAGTTTGAGGACCCCTGGTTTAAGCTGTGCTATTCCCAATGCTCAGGCTGTGAATTTGCAAATAAGCCCAAAAGTTACAAAACACTATATCTTCCAGAGATAGCTGCTCTGGATCTTACCATTCTGGGAAGTTGAGAGGGTAGAATATCAGAAATAAATACATATTATACGCATTCTAACTGATTGATAATATCACTTTCTGATACTCAGTTACCAACTGGTTTCATGGAAAAGTATTGCATTTGAAGTGTGATGTAACTAGTGTAACTGCTCTTTCTTCCCTTTTGCTTGGTTAAACATAACTGTGGCTAATGGGGTGGGATAAAAATCTAATAAATAAAATATTACTCAGATTTATTTTTACCTCAAGCAGCTGTATGTTGTTTGTTGGGTATCTGGGGTAGCAGGATTGTGAGGCAGAAAAACACTCTCCTTACACAGCGGTAACACTTGTTGGCCCAATGCCATCTAATACAGGAATATGCCCACTATTTATGATCTGCATCCTACAATAAACAGAACAGATTTCATATTTGACTGTGTACACAAAGGCTTCTATACAAATGGCATTATCAGTCTGGGGATGGACTTGCAGCAGGAGTGGTCAACTTTCAGAGGACATTTTTTCTTCTGAGACTGCTACCAAAGACTGCATTGAATCCAACTGTTCAAGACTGGCAATCAACTGTTTCTAAGTTGATTGCCAGAAGCATCAGTCTTTGGGTGCTCCAGGGCTGTATATATATTTGCAAGAGGCAATAGGGGACAGTGGCAACTTCATGTTGCCCACACCTGACAGACATGGTTGTAGTTTCTCCCACTCTCTTGCAGGGCATGCATTTCCACTAAGATAAGTAATTGAACCAAGTGCAATTAGAGTTTTAATGGAATTGTTGTAAGCCGCCCCGAGGTTTTGGCAAGGGGCGGCATAGAAATGTAATAATAATAATAATAATAATAATAATAATAATAATTTCATTTCTGCAGAGACGCGGAGTTACATGGAAGGCCTCAACCACCCCATCATGATGTCTGACAGTTCCACAGGCCCAAATCCTCCTCTGTTGCGGACTGATGTGCAAACAAGTCCTTCTTGTCAGCGGCCTTTTGTGGCTACATGCACATTTGCCAATAATAGCCCTGTCCTGAGAGGAGAGAGGTAAGAAGCCTGTCTCTAGTCTGTTTATTTCCCAGCCATTTCATTTAGGTAGAGAGGAAATCCATACACTGCTCTGAAGCATTCTTTTAGGTAGAGTCGTGTGTGACCCAGCCCTGGGCTCCATCACCTCGGAGGTAATACTGAGAAACATTTTTGTAGAGATAGCTGTCATTATCAGCCCTTGTCCATGCCTGCATGTGTATGGAGAGATGTAATAAGTGAATTAGGATCATTTAGATGCAGCTGGAATTAATTCTGACCATGATTTTCCTCTTGCTACAGTAGCAAAGATTACTGCTGTTTCAGCATGCTACCTTTTCGCATACTATGTTACATCTGTACCCCAGTTTTCAGATGAACGACTGGCTTAGGGTGTGGTGCCGGAAGGAAAGCTTCAGGTTCCTTGACCACGGCACCCGGTGTCTTGCCAGTGGACTTCTGGCAAGGGACGGGTAGCACCTCAAGAGGATGAGGAAAGACTTTAAACTGAGCTGAGGGGGAAGGGGTTCAGGCCCCCCAGAAACTTGTCCACACTGGACAAGTGTGGGGAGTGGATCAGGGCTCTGGGAGCAGGGTTTTAGAGGTACTGCAGGGACTGACAGGACTCTGACAAAGAGAAGGCAGGTATCAGGGAAGATGGGAGGAAGGAAGAGGCTGGGGACTCTAAAGAAAGGAAGCAGTGGGAAGGAGTTGAGGTGTGTGCACACCAATGCTAGGAGCATGGGTAATAAGCAGGAAGAGCTTGAAGCTCTCCTGGGAATAGGAGGGTATGACCTGGCGGGGATCACGAAAACTTGGTGGGATGAAAGGCAAGACTGGAATGTGAACGTAGAGGGGTATCACCTTTTTAGAAAGGACAGGAAGGGAAAGAGGGGTGGGCCGTTACCTTATATGTCAGGGAAGGGATGCAGTGAGCTAGAATGCAGCACAGATGGGGATTTGGTAGAGGCAGTCTGTGTGAAACTTAGGGGTTTTGATAGGGAGAGGGAGTTTTGGAGGCGCAAGCCTTGACAACACCACTAGTTAGTAAGGCGAGGAGGCGAAGGAGAGTGCTGCCATGGATGCGAAAGGAAGTAGACAGACACAAAAGGAACCTCCGTAGGAAATGGGTACTGGGGCAAATAGACAAAAGGGCATACCGGAAGGAGGAGGCCCATTGTAGAAGGATTCTTTGCAAGGCTAAGGCTGAGACTTGCAAAGAAAATAAAGAGCAACACAAAGGGCTTTTATCAGCATGTAAATAGCAAGAGGAAGGGGAGACAAGTAGTGGGTCTGCTTAATAAGGAGGAAGGGGATCCAGTGACTGATACGAGGGAACAGGCACAGATGCTAAATGACTATTTTACCTCTGTGTTCTCCCCAAAGCAGGATGGGGGAGATCTGCATAGGAGATTAGATGAGGCTGGGGACCTAGGGGCACAGATTAGAGTCTCCCCCCTAGAAGTCGAGGGGCTCCTCAGGGCATTGGACATTACAAAGGCACCTGGCCCTGACAGGTTACACCCAAGAGTACTTTGAGAGTTGGCAGGGGTTCTCTCACGCCCGCTGGCCTCCATTTTTGAGGCCTTCTGGAGAACGGGTGAAGTCCAGAGGACTGGAGGGTGGTGTCAGTGGTCCCAATTTTGAAAAAGGGTAGTAGAAGGACATGGGAAATTACAGACCAGTTAGCCTTACATCCATTGTAGGAAAAACAATGGAAAGGCTCCTAATAGTGAGAGATCTAGTGATGCTAGATAGGGAAGGGAGCCTGGCGGCCACACAATGCTTCTGCAAGAACAGGTCCTGCCAGACAAACCTTGTGGAATTCTATGACAAGGTTTCGAGGTGGCTAGATGGAGGGGATGCAGTGGTTTACCTGGATTTCAGCAAGGCCTTTGACAAAGTGCCCCATGATATCCTGGTTGAGATAGACCAATGCACTGTCCAGTGGATTAGAGCATGGTTGACTGACCGAAAGCAGAGGGTAACCATTAGTGGGGAATCATCGGGATGGCGGCCAGTGACAAGCGGGGTCCCCCAGGCATCTGTCCTGGGGCTGATCCTGTTTAATCTCTTCATAAATGACATGGAAGAAGGGGTGAACAGTCTGCTGATCAAATTCACAGATGTTACTAAAACTGGAGCAGTGGCCACAACTAAGGAGCAGATACTCCAGATTCAAAAGGATATGGACAGGCTATGGAAGTGGGCAGGAGAAAACAAGATGGCATTCAGTGTGGATAAGTGCAATATCTTGCACTTGGGTCATAGGAATGAGTGTCATAAGTACAGGTTAGGGGACAAGTGGCTGGAGAGCAGCATTTGTGAAAGGGATCTTGGGGTGCTGGTTGACTGTAAGCTAAACATGAGTCAGCAGTGTGATGCAGTGGTCAAGAGGATGAATGCCACCCTTGGTTGCATAGCCAGAAGTGTGGCTTCTAGATCAAGAGAGGTATTACTACCACTCTATATGATTCTGGTGTACCTGCAACTGGAGTATTGTGCTCAGTTTTGGTCCTCTTGTTAAAGGAAGGATATAGTCAGGTTAGAGTCAGTGCAGAATAGGGCCAAAAGGTTGGTGGCAGGTTTGCAGGGGATGCCGTATGAGGCGAGATTGAGGGAACTGGGTCTCTTCAGCCTGGAGAAGAGGAGACCCAGAGGGGATCTGTTGGCAACATAGAGGTATGTGAGGGGAGTGTCACTCAGAGGTGGGTAGAGGCCTGTTCTCCCCTGCAGACGAGGGCAGGACACGCTCCAACAGAGCGAAGCTCAGGGAGCCAAGGTTCGATTAAATGTTAGGAAGTACTTCCTGACAGTTAGGACCCCGAGGGTATGGAAGGGGCTTCCATGGGAGCTGGTTGAGGCCCATTGGTGAGGGTGTTCGAGGATAGGCTAGACATGCACAGGTGGGCATGTCATGAGCAGAGCCAGCTGGAGCTGGGGGTCAGACTAGATGGTCCTGGAGGCCCCTTCTGACTCGCTCTGTTTCTCTGTTTCCATGTTACATGGTGTGTTTTAGCAAACACAACTGACTGTCTTGGAGGGAAAAATAAACTTAAATATACTTTTAAATCTCAGTTGTGCCAATAAAATTGCCTCCCATCATTTAACTAGAAAGTTCTTCAGCATCTTCTAGAACAAATACACACTTGCAAAATAGTCTGGGGTTGTTATCAAATGGCAAGGCCCTCAGGTGATTTATGTTACTTGCTGAATCATCAAAATCTGTAGTCATATGCTCTGATTGTAAAAACAGTAGGAAATTCCTCTTATAGACACCTGATTTTCTCTTCTGCCTACCAAAGGAATGGGCTTCTCCTATCAGATGGACATAGTGGTTATTATAGCATTTCTTTTTTTCTCCTTTGGTATGGAGAAAGGACCTTTTATTTCCAGTACTCTAATGTAGACCACTGTTTTGTAATATGCTAAGGTCTCTTTACATCCATTTCCAACCTCCCCCCCCCCACACACACACACACTAAATCTCCAACAGCTTAGTTTATTTCTCCCTTTCTCATATTTACAGTACAAACATTCCTTCAGCTCCACTGTCATCCTCTTTTCAGTAACATTTAATTTGCTGATACAATATTAACTTATTGCTACAGAATTTAGTTGACAGTAGCAGTGCATCTGCACCACCAATGAAGGTGGTTTTCATTATTTAATGTTTGTGGTGGGTGAGAAGGAAGTTGGGTAGGGACAGGTGAATTGGAGGGGAAGGTTTGATTTTTCCTTCCCACGTGCTTTGGTCCTGAACCAAATTGGGGCACTGCAGACTTGCAGAAAATGTTCAAGAGGCATAGCTGCACACTATGTGATACACATGGACTGAAGTTCAGTCTTTGGTGGCAAATTTGGGCTTGCTGCTACATCATTTATAAAGTGGCCCTTAAATCTCACATTACAACAATTACCTGCATATTACAGTATGTTTTTGAAGTGTTTTGATGGATGTTTTGGATTTTTCAAACAGTCCAACTGTGAGCGAGCCCATCTGGCAACAAAACAATTCTAAATCCTCCTTGATGCCCCAGTTCTTGGGAATGAGCAACAGCAAGCCTGCAGGAAGTTACCTCACATCACCAGAGTTTGCAGGACCAGTGCAAGATGGCTCAAACATGCCTCATTTCCAGACCAAGGGACTCCAGGTTGAGTCATTGAATGGTGAGGAGAATTCATCCCCTGGGCGGCAGCAGGACCCTAGTGCCAGTACTGAAGTCCGAGCCTTCCTCAGCTATGGCAGGGCCAGTGCCAACAGCAGTCCATCACTGGGGGAGAAACAACCTGCCTTTGTGGCAAATACTAATGGGTCTTCTAAAACAATGACATCTCCAATGGACAGTGGCTTTTTGACTCACAATCTCCTTGCATCACCATCTGGACTCAACAGCCAGAACAGTCCAAATCAACAGAACTCTGGAATGAACATGCACCCTCAGCCCCCTCTTCCAGAGAAGAAGAGGACGTCAGAAGGGGAGCGTTCTTTTGGCTCCATCTCTCCGTCTTCAAGTGGCTTCTCTAGCCCACATAGTGGAAGCACAATCAGCATCCCCTTTCCAAATATTCTTCCAGATTTCTCTAAAGTTTTAAACACTTCACCATTGCCAGGTAAGTTTTGCACCTGTAGAGCATTCCAGGAGAGCAGCTGTGTTACACTGAAAAGGATTCTCAGGCTAGGCCTCAGAAGGGGGTGTTCAGACAAGCACCACCTTGTGATTCTGTGAGGGGAGCAAGGTTAGGACCACTAGGCACCAGTACTCTCAAAATCAGCATGCCTACCAGACATGCCCTCCTGTTGCCCACAAGTTTGGTCTAAGTGAGCCCTAGTACATGTATACACATGTACAAGTGAAGGTCTTCTTTAGTTAAACAGGAGTGCAGATTGGCCATAATAAGTATCTTTCATTTGGAAAGAATCCCTGGCTCCTGTTCAAATCCAGGAGGCCTTCATTTACATGTGTCTCAGACTTCTGAATGTGCACCAGCAGAGACGCATGGGCTAGAGGAGTGAACTGATTATTTTCTCACACATTGGTCAATGTATGCATATTATTTGAGCACCTTAATATGAAATGGGAATGAGGTAGCATAGTGAGTAATAGTACTTCAGACTGTACTTGGGATACCACTTTAAGGTTGTTCCTTCTTCAGGGGAAAAAAGCCTGCCTAACAAGAGAAAGCTGGAAGAAAGGTTGTCCCTTTGCCTGCATTGCTGTCTTTTATTTTAGTTTCAGGAAGTTGTTACTATATCAGAACAATTCAAATAATGAAACCCCTTCCTGTCTACACTCTGACATTGTGCAGCCCATTCTTACCACCCCAGCATTTGCCACCTTACTTTGCTGCCTGGCTAGACCAGACTTGATTTACTTCAGATGTCCAGGCAGTGAGCTATTTAGAAAATGAGTTTTATCCTGTGGCAACACACTGAATTTTAGTTTTTCACCCTCTTGCTTTTTGTCTCTCAGAAAATGCAAGTGAGAAACATGTGACTGTAAAGTTTGTCCAAGACACCTCCAAATTCTGGTACAAACCTGAGATTTCAAGAGAGCAAGGTAAGCCAGTCAACACGGTCTACAGCATGTAGCAAGTTTAGTAGTTCCATTTATTAATATACTTATGTAATGTATAATTGATTCTGATGCACTGACATAGGATAGCTTGTATGATGTTTCTTTTTAGTTCTACACTGATAAAATATAACTTTACTCCAGTGTCTAATGAAGGTGTGAGAATCAGAGGGAGAGGTGGGGGTTTTTTCCCCAAAATGAAGGCATACATTTGGCCAGTGGAATTATATCTCTGTTGGTGGGTTGTTCAACTCTCCAGGTAAGTGATCCTTGCCCTGTTCTGGATTGGGTTGCACTCCCCCTAAGGGACAGGGTGCACAGTCTGGGAGTGCTCCTTGATCCAGAGTTATCCTTGCAGTGACTTTCCTTCAGCTTTGGCTGATCCATCTACTACACCTTTACATGGACGAACAGAGCCTTGCAATGGTGATCCATGCTTCAGTAAACTCACAATTGGACAATTGTAACACATTCTACATGGGGCTGCCCTTGAAGATGGTCTGGATACTTCCGTTGGTTCAGAACAGAGCATCCAGGTTGCTAGCAGGGTCTGGCAGATGTACACATATAATGCTGGTCCTGTACCAGGCTTCCAATCGAAGTCTGGGCCCAATTTAAGATGATAGTGATAATGTATAAAGCCCTGGACAGCTTAGGACCTGGATATTCGAAGAAGCGCCTCCGTCCATATATACCTACCCAGCCTCTAAGATCTGGAGCTGAGGTCCTTCTTTGGGATCCCTCTTTGAAGGTGATCAGAAGAGTGGCTATGCAGAAAAGGGCCTTCCCTGCAGTGATGCCCCAGGCAATGGAATGGGCTTCCCAGAGAGGTGTACCTGGTGCTGATGCTTTTGCCATTTCGGCGCCAGGCCAAAACTTTTTTATTTCCCCAGCATTTTAAAAGTTAGTATTGTATAATGTTGATTTTATATATTATTGTGATGGTGTGTCTTATTTATTTACGTCATCACTGCCCTGAGACACTAAAGGGTGGGATACAAAATTTTTAAATAAATAACTGGGAGAAAACAATAAAGTTTTCAGTGAGAGGGGAGCAAGATTAGGACCAATAAAGTGCTGAAGTGTGTGAGTCTTTGTTGCATTCCTGCTACTATCCCTCATTGATTTTCAGTACATATTAACTTCTGATTAGCCCCTAAATGGTTGTATTTAGAAACCAGGTGCCTAGAGCACAGAATTTTTTTCTCTTCTCTTCTCCTCCCCTCCTCCAGCCCCCTTCCTCTAAACGGTTCAGAATCCATTTGGTTATTCAAAGAATCTTGGATAGTTATGAAGAAATACCAAAAATAACCTAAGTGAGAGCTCTTAAAAAGAATTGTTTTTTCGTACTCCAATTTTATATATAGGCTTATAGCACAGAACTAGAGATCATGTAGTCCAGTGCAGGATCTGCAAAGCAGGATGCAGCTACAGCATCCCTGACAGGTGACCTCCAGCCTTTGCTTAAATATGTCCAATGAAAGCCCACCATCTTCCAAGGCAGCCTCCTGTTGAACAGCTCTTTTCCTTGGGAAGTTTCTTAAAATTCTTCCAAATTTCCACCAAACGACTTTAGTTCTGTCCTTTGGAGAAGGTCTGCTCCATCTTCAGATATTTGAAGTCTCTCATGACCCTTCTTTAATCTCTTGCTCAGGCTAAGCATGTCTAACTCTTCCAGCTGTTCCATATGGGACCTGGTTTGCCTCACCATTCTAGTTGTCTTCTTCTAGAAACTGTCCCGTTTGTGACTGATTATCACATCCTGATAATGTGATCTCCAGAACTGGACACAGTCCTTAAAATGCAGCCTGACTAGTGCAGATAGAACAGAATGAATTTTCCCCATGAAAACATTTTTTCATGTTCCTGTTAACACAGCTTATGAGTGTGTCAGCAGATTATTACATACACCAGGGGTCTTGAAGCTCTTTCAGCGTCAGAGTTGAATTCCGTTTTGGAGAGGCTCTTAGAGCTGCATTCCAGTGGTGGGAAAGGAGCACAGGCAAAAAGGCTGAAGTGAAAATATGAAAATACTGTCAGATTGTAGCTTAAAGCACTTAGTGTCAGTAACTAATGCTTAGGGGAAGCAATTCAACCATTTAGAACAGGGAAAAAAACTGCAGGCGAGTCAGGAAATCAAACTACCAGGGGAAAGAGGGAGGGTGTACATCTGGAGAACACCAGAGTGACCACAGGAGGGCCTGAAGCTTTGTACCCTTGACAGCATACAGACACATACCCATAAGAGCTGAAAGTTCTTTGCCATTCCCCACTGAAACATGAAATAACACTCGTGCCTAAATGTGCCAGACAGAGGGTGTCATATCTTCAAACCATTCATAGATATGCATGTTCAATTGAGTTATCTTGCAGCTGAGTTAAATGTGATAAATCGAGGACTGATTTTGATCAACAGTGCCTCTTGTCTTGTAGACAGCAGGTGGTATTTTGTGATTAAGTGAAGTCAGTATCCTGTGCCTGCCCATCCTTGTACAGAATCTCATTGAACCTTGTCCAGCTTAGCATCTGGCTGCTAGACAAAGACAATAGATCATTTTTAGTGCAGGGTTTCTGTGGCAGTCAGATGGCCAGCAGTGTCTTAAAATGCAGGTGTAGCATGATTGCAGAGGGAAGAGATGATCAGGGAGTACGCGGCTATCAGTTTCTTGTTTGCTTTGGATTCACAAACAAGGAAGCTGGGTATTACAAACTGTACAAGAATAGACAGCTGGCCGGGCTTCATTTTTTTAATGAATATAGAAGAAAGTAAGCTGTGTATGTGTGGAAGGGTATGTACCAAAGATTGAGTATGTGCAACAAGCATATCTGGCTCCTGGTGGTTAAATGTTGCACATTTCATGATAGAGTTGCAAAGGAATGTGCTAAATGAGAATAGCAAGGTCTTTATGAAACGTTTTACTAGTGGTGGAAAGCAAAGTAATTTTCTGCAGCTGTGGTATCTTCTGACATTTTGCTGCCATCCAACACTTGCCTGGTGTGGACAGACTTGTAACTTCCCATGTATGGATTCCCCACACCATCTCCCCTTTTGGGCAATTAACCATGTTTAATGTCAAACTGGAGTTTGTGACTGTAAGTAGAAGTAGACACGCAAACTGTGGTTCAGGTTAACCTTGACTGAACATTTAGATCATGCGGGCCGTAATACCTAACTCGGGAAGGGAAATGAATGTGGTGCCTGCTTATGGTGGTCTTCTGATCACTTACACATATTAAACCTGCACCAAGTCACATATAGTATTGGGTTAAAGCCTCTGGATAGCTGCAATGGATTGCCATTTAATTTGCTCCATTGTCCCTGATGCAGTGTCACTGTGAATATAGTGGGGAATTAAAAGGGCTTCATGCTGACACCAGGTACATCCACAGCTGGGGGAGCTAGCACTGTAGGAAGGGAACCAGCAGAGGACATTTTGCTGAGGATCCACCTGGACTCCCCTCAAACTCAATTGCTCACAAAGGGTTCAAGTTCTGTGGCAGCAGAACTGTCAGGAGAACATGGTGGCTTCTGAGGATAAAAAAATTGGCCCCTCAGGTATCTAGTGAGCCTTTCCCAATCTGGTATCCTCCAGATGTGTTGAACTGTAACATCTAGTGTTCCCCTGCCTACCATGTGTGATCAAGCTGTTTCAGTTGTTGTGACAGTGAAAGTCCTAAAATGATGTAGTCTAGTTGTCTTTTTGGCTATATTTGGTCCCATTGTACTTTAAAGAAAGGAGCCAAAGGTTGTCAGCTGTGTATGGAAAGATTCAGAATGATTACGTTCTTTACTTAGTCTAAAAACAACTCTCTTCACCTCTCTCTTTCACTTTCCTTTCCCTTGTGCAGCCATTGCAGTCCTGAAGGATAAGGAACCAGGATCATTCGTTGTCCGTGATAGTCACTCTTTCCGAGGAGCCTACGGCCTGGCCATGAAAGTTGCTGTGCCTCCTCCTTCAGTATTGCAGCTAAACAAAAAGGGTATGGCACATTTTCTCCATCTCTCCAATTCAACAGAAGACAAAGTTAAAGAGAGAGATTTTTAGCACATTTGGAGTGCTCACTGCTATGCATGCTTAGAAAGAAACAAAACATTCACAGCCCACTTGGCTCAGTGCTGAGCCATGCTGGAATAACATGCGTAGGATTATGCCCTAAATTTAAGAGCAACCCTTTGCCTGCAAATGGACCTAAAAGGTACGTTTTGGGGTTGCTCTGCTCACAGCTCTCCAATCCAGCTGGGTTATGTGTGTAAGCTGTTACCAGGAGCTTCCTGTCCTTCACTGTTCAGTGTAATCCTGAAAATAAGTCCACAAAGCCAGTCAACCTAGAGGGGGGGAAATTGTATTAGGCTGTCTGTCCATACATGCTAGATTAGCTGTTTGTGGCTGAAAAGAGAAAAACGAACCAACCTATATAAAGACTATCTGCATGCTTGCCAGAAGGCAATCTTTATTTTACTACAGGCTATTGTATGAATTTTGGATGCAGGTGGCACAGTGGTTTAAACTGCTGTGCTGCTGGGCTGGTTGATTGAAAGGTCGCTGGTTTGAGTCTGCACAACAGGGAGAGTTCCTGTTGCTCCGTCCCAGCTCCTGCCAACCTTGCAGTTCAAAAGCATGCACATACAAGTAGATTAAAAAGGTACCATTTCGGTGGGAAGGTAACAACATTCTGTGCACTTCAGTGTTTAGTCATGCTGACCACATGACCATGGAAATTGTCTGTGGACAAATGCTGGCTCCCTGGGCTAGGAAATGGAGATGAGCACCGCCACCTAGAGTCAGACATGACTGGACCTTAATGTCAAGGGGAAACCATTACCTCTTATTGTATGAATTGCTGTTGACAACCCTGACTTGAGTTTTTCCAAAATCTCGGAGGTCCCCAATGATGTGTTTACAGGCCAGGGAAGAGTCAGCTACCCCTATACAGGAAGTCCATAATGCAAATTATTTTGGAAATGTGGGTGCAGCAGGGAGGATCCCCAGTGCCTGGTTTGAGGAAGGACTTCAAAAACTGATTAGTAAAGAATGTCTACATCTACTTGAAGAAGTGCACAGCTTCAGCAGTGCCTACCACAAAAAAGATTTTTTTAAAAAAACTGTTCTCAGCCAATAAACAGTACATGTTCCATTTATGGCACAAGTTATAGTGGTCTCTGTTCTTCTGGCCGCTACATATTGCAGCAATAGGATGCAGACTTCTGTGCAAGTCAAAGATGATATTTCCCTGTTGCTGGGCAACTGTGCCCACCTTATAATATAACTTAGTTGTAGCTTGGCTTGCCATAGCATCTTCCTCGATGGACCTTTGCTTGAATACTTGATATTTAGGAGGCTGGATTCAAGTCAGTTTCCCAACTTGGTGCCTTCCTAATCCTTTGGACTGCAACATCCATGGGGTCGCGGGGTGGGGTGGGGAATCATTGACTGTTGGCCATGCTGGCTGGTGCTGACAAGTATTGTAAATTAAAACATCTGGATCACCGTGCTGGAGAAGGCTGTACATGAAATCTATCAAGTCTCTCATAAACACCAAACATGCATATATTTATTCCTCTATTCTTTTGATCAAACATGCCCAATTCTTCAGCTTCTAAAATTATGTAAACAATGCAAATACCATATCTCTAGGGTAGCATGAACTCTTCAGTACCATTTTCTCATCAAAGGATAACCAAAGGAGTTCTGTCCCCCAGCCCGGGTTTTTCATGCTTCCAGTTCATAAAAAAATCTCCATTGTTGATAAGACAGATAAGGTTTTTTAATTTCCAAAATTTTCCCTTCACTGCAAATGAAAATGAGCCAGTAACATCATGGCTTCCATATTTTGTTGATAGGTTTTTTTGTATACTCCAAATTCTTCGTAATGATTCATTGGCTGAATGTCTTTGTTTTTTGTTGTTTTATACTATAGTTGGAGATCTGTCCAATGAACTGGTCAGGCATTTCCTGATAGAGTGCACTCATAAGGGAGTGAGGTTGAAAGGTTGCCCCAATGAGCCGTATTTTGGTAAGTATAACCACTATAGTTTATCAAGTGGAAGGAGGAAGATGATTATTGAAACATGATGAGAGGTTACATATGATAATATACGCTTGTCTATCAGCTTGTTTAAAAAATTAATACTTTTGAATACCTTTCCTCATCTCCTACACCATGGGTACCAAACCGTTCACCCTGCAGCTCTCATGTCCATGCCTGTCAGCCATGCTGCCTGATGGAAATTAGTGACCAAAAACATCTGGTGGACTGCAGATTCTCCACTCATGTCCTACATACAACATGTTCACTTCTTATGACTGTTTCAGAAGAAGAAGCTCTCACAGCCTCTGCAAGAAAGGAGATTTAGTGGGGAATAAATAACTTTTCCCAGGAAGATAAAGATAATAGCTATACAGTATTCCCATCCTTTACTCAATATCCATATAAAGGATCCTGTGCTCCCTTGGACCACTGCTGACTGATACTACCATTAACAGTTCCTCTTTCATGCTCCGTAGTTCTCCCTTAGATTCATTGTTCTCTTACATCTGAGCTTCTGGTAGATATCCTCTCATGTCTTCATCCTCTGGGTCTTCACCTTAATTTTCCCTGCTCACCTTCCATCCACTTCATGCTATCCTCTGCAAGGAAACATAGGAATAGAGAGAGTCAGAAGGGGTCTCGTGGGCCATCTAGTCTGATGACTGGCTCCAGCTGGCTCCGCTCACGACATGCCCACCATGTGCATGTCCAGCCTATCTTTGAACACCCTCACCAATGGGGCCTCAACCACCTCCCATGGAAGCCCATTCAATACCCTCAGGATCCTAACTGTCAGGAAGTACTTCCTGGGATCTAATTTGATTCCCTGAGCTTTGCTCCGTTGGAGTGCGTCCTGCCCTCCTCTGCAAGGGAAGTCTCTACCCACCTCCGTGTGACACCCCCTCACATACCTGTATGTTGCCAACAGATCCCCTCTGAGTCTTCTCCAGGCTGAAAAGACCCAGTGTTATAAAGTGTTGCAATTGACCAATACATCTTTCCTTCATTGTTCTTTCAAACAATGACCCTTTTCACACTTAACAGTAATTCTTTGAATGTTCAGCCCAGAAATGGTTGTGACCAAGTGTCAATAAATTAAATTAAATTTATTAATTTAAATTTAGGCTGTTAAATTTAGGCTTAAATAGAAGAAAGTAGGGAAAAGCACTATGCCGTTCAGGTATGACCTAAATCATATCCCTGAGGAATATACAGTAGAGGTGACAAATAGATTTAAGGAATTAGATCTGATAGACAGGGTGCCTGAAGAACTATGGATGGAGGTTCGCAACATTGTACAAGAGGCAGCAACTAAAGCCATCTCAAGAAAATAGAAATGCAAGAAAGCAAAATGGCTGTCTGAGGAAGCTTTACAAATAGCAGAGGAAAGAAGGGAAGCAAAAGGCAAGGGAGAAAGAGAAAGATGCACCCAATGGAATGCAGAATTCCAGAGAATAGCTAGAAGAGATAAGAATGCCTTCTTCAATGAACAGTGCAAAGAAATAGAAGGAAACAATAGAATAGGGAGGACCAGAGATCTCTTCAAGAAAATTGGAGATATGAAGGGAACGTTTCATGCAAAGATGGACATGATAAAGGACCAAAATGGCAGGGATGTAACAGAGGTAGAAGAGATTAAGAAGAGGTGGGAAGATTACACAGAAGAACTATACAAGAAAGACCTTAACATTCCTGATAACCATGATGGGGTGGTCACTGACCTTGAGCCAGACATCCTGGAATGTGAAGTCAAATGGGCCTTAGGAAGTCTGAGCAAAAACAAAGCTAGTGGAGGTGACAGTATTCCAGCTGAGCTATTCAAAATCTTAAAAGACGGTGCAGTAAAAGTGTTACACTCACTATGCCAGCAAACTTGGAAAACTCAACAGTGGCCACAGGATTGGAAAAGGTCAGTTTACATTTCAATTCCAAAGAA